GATAACTTTCTATACCGTATTGAAACACAGCTAGAAAAACTATCAACAGGAAGCGCGGGAGCGCGAGGCTGCTCGTGACACCCCGGTCGGTGCTCCGAGACAGACTGCTTTGACAATAGGCAAATTCGAGAACTAATCATTCTGATTCGTCGAGATCCTTATATAGCCGATAATTCTTCCTTTCCCTCAAGCCGTCCCTTTAAATCAAATCGAGAGCGTTCCTTAGCGAATCGGTACGTAACATTTAAAGATCCTCCACGGCCGCTTTCCCAGGACATCGGGCGACAATTGGGCACGACATCCTTAACTCGGGCAGGACGTTCCTCCCTTGCCCTTAATCGTAACAAAACCTTATCTCCGCCCACTCTACAGCCCTTTGCCCATGTCCAGCGGAACGCCGATTTCTCACCCGGGCTTCTGCCGGTCCGTGGAGAAGTCTCCGTCGGGTACTCTCCTTTGCCGGGCAACTCGGTACGTCAAGACTTTCTCCCGAAACAATAACGAAATCTTACGAGAGCATTGGCATAACTATACGAATCAACCTGAGAGCGTAGCTTCTGAGCAAGGTGGTGACTCGAAGGGAACCAGAAAGCGAAAACGTTATCTGTATCGGTAGCTGGTGTCGCCTTGTGACTGTGAATCGAAAAATTACGTCACAAAGCTTACATGTATCAGCGTATAAGTCAGTGTATTGTGCTAAGTATTTTATACAAATATTAAATAATAAAGTGATTTTATGGTAACAATAATAATTGATAAAGAGAAGACAGATAAGCGTAGGGATGAGCGCAGAAGACTGCTATTAGCTCAATTAACGACCCAGTGGTCCTGATAGTGTTTTAGTTAATAAAAGTCGACCATGACTGCCACCTCAATTTTTGGAAAATACGTATTTTAACGGTATTACGTAGCAGAACTATTGTTAAAACCTATCACGAACTATAGAACTCGTCTAGAAGTATTGAAAAAGCATATTGTTGAAACATTGTTCAAAAATTGAGGTGCTACACGAGTTTCAACTCCAGCACCGCACTTTTTTTTTAAATGTCTTAAAAATGTTTCAACAATGGGCATTTTCAATAGTTCTCGAGGAGTTCTATAGTTCCTGATAGGTTTTAACAATAGTTCTGCTACGTAACATCGGTAAAATGCCTATTAAGGATACTAGTCGCACCATATGCTTCAATGCAGGTATGTATAAGGAGCTGTCTTTCAATGTTGTTTTCAGATTGTGTTTCAAACAGTTCCGGAATAGTTCTCACTAGTACTCAATGTTGGGACCATAGTTCCGCTTGGAACTATTGTTAAATAATGCTGGAAGCTAGCATCGCTTCGCTGCACTCCTCAACAGAGGCAGGCATGAGATGCTGGTTTTTGTCTTAGTAAATCTTATCCAGCTTACACTGTAAACTCGAATTTAAGATTACAAAAAAAATATTTAGGCAATATCTGATGAGCGACCTCATTCTAAGGGTTGCTCTGGGAACGGTAAGTTGCGGAAAACCTCTGCCAGCCAGGCTACACGTTCGTGATCACTTACAGCTCGGCTACGGCGGGATGTGCATTACCGACGGGGAAGTGATGATCACAAAATCCTACTCCTGGATTCGTCGTTACGATTTAGCGCCATGTTTTTGGTATCACCTAAAACCGTAGCGTTGTGCATCTCTCTACTCGTCTCGGTCGCCAGTATCGCCTAAAGCCGTATCGTTGAGCATTTCCCTATTCATTTCTGCAATATATTCTCCTGGTGCCTAATGTTCCAAAACTGTAGCACATGATTCCAAAGAGGTCCCATTGGCCCTGATAATAATATATGTATGTTAAAAAACTTCATGAATTCTACACTTACTAATATCATTATTATCCAATTATCAATGTTGAACCTACCACTGTCTTTCAAGAACAGCTTAGCAAACTCTTCAAAGATTCTATCAATATTATGAAATACCCGACAATAATTTTATATTATATAATAATACCCGATAATAATTTGGATTTCGTGTTATGTATATAATCTGAAATATGGAACAAAATATGTAAGGCAAATCTACTGAGTAGAAGTCAGCTTAAATACTTAAAGTACTTTGCATCATATACTTGAATTATTCAATGTTAATTGTGTGAATGTTTCAAGATACTCGAGAAGTGGGTTGCGTAATATGTAAAGGGTTCGTGACTTTTCATAATCAAAATTATTTCCGATACACCAAACCATTTCCTGTGCCCAATGACTATCTATAAATTTTTTATTTAAAAAATCATTTATAATCAGAATATTAGTTTGATAGACGGTAAATTATAACGTTTCTATGTACCTGTACGGGGTTATGAAACCAGTCATATGTCATTCTCATGAATTGTCATATCCCGAATTTTTCAACCATAAAGAATATACTTAAAAGATAATACGCATTGCCCAGGATTTGTTTTTACAAAATTTGGTTTTACTCCAAATATCATTCAATTTTCCTCAAAGGGCACCAACGGCCGTCGTATGCGTAATCGACATCGTAGACTTCAAATTAAAGAAAAACGTGTCACGATTAATTTATAGAACATCAAGAGACTCGGTCGAGTCTCGCGCCAAGTACAGGCAACCGGCTGTACAGGGCGCAGCGCGCCGAGACTCTTTACTCGAGTCAACTCCTTATACCTGTGTTTGGAAAGAAATATCTTATAAACCGTTATATATGAGGAAAAGTTATTGATACATTCACTATAGGAATTGAAGGTTCTGAAGCGATTGCCACCAAGTTCAATACGATTAGTGTACGAGATCAGGGCGTATTGAGATGG